ACAAACAGTCTTTGGAAGCTTTCGCAGTAGAAGCTTTTTATTAGAAACGGTATGTTTTGCATTCGTGCCAATATCCATTCCCCTTTGACACTACACCATGCAGCTGATTTGAGGCTGTTGAGGCATATAGAAGGTAGGAGTTAAGGAAACCATAGTCTGATACTGACAGTTTCTTTCTTTTACATCTTATGTCATAGCTGGAAAGGCAGCTAAGGACAGAGACATTTTTCTCTCCTTTAGTGTTTAGTGCATTCTTTCCTATTTTTCTGGTAAAAAACAACAGTCACCAAAGAGACAACTGCAGATCCACTACGCTGTGATCGCAGTGCAGCTGGGAAAAGTTTCTCACTCACACACCATTAAGGTGGCTGCCTCATGCCCTCTGCTGAGTCCCCAAATCCAGCCACACTATGACATCTTCATCTGAACTAATTCACAGACACCTGGGCAGACGTGCTCAGGTTAGTTCTACTAGCTTGAAGCCCACGGGCAGTAACAACATTGTTCCCAGTACCGTGTGCCCACCGCCCATGGGAGGACAGCAGGCACATCTCTGCTTCCTGAGGCTTCCCTTAATCTAAAAGCGTGCTGGGCTGCTTCACTCCCAGCTCTGCTGTGAATTATCAAGTGACTTTGAGCAAGACGCCCTTTGTCTCAGTTTCTTCAGCTGTTAAAAAAGGAACTGAACTCCTGTCTATTCTGCAAGTACTGATGACTTAAAAATCGAGTGACTGGAATAAGGCATCACTATTCTACTGTTGCTTCATCAGTCCAATGCAAAGGTATTATTTTCAGGCAAAAATGGTGTATTATCATTTGTTTTATACTTTTTGCAACTCCAGTTTTTACTGCTTTCCTATTCCTGTACTTCTGCCTTTCATACCATAAAAAATGCATTCCAAACAAACTTGGAACACATCCTTTCTTTGAGAAGTATAATAATTTAACTGGAAGGCATAACTTCACCCCTAAAAACAAACTACAAGATCAGCATAGATATATTTCACTTCTCTTCATCCTTGCAACCTTCCTTCCTTTCCTTCCTTGTTTTCTTTCCTGCATCTCAGTATTCGCACCTGTCACTTCTGTCTCACTGTCCTCAGTCTTCTGTCATGCACAGTCTCTACTTTTACCAAATATTATGGAAGTGAAAACTATGTAGTAAGAGGCGGTAACATCCTGCCTTTACATCTTCTTTCAAGCAAAGCAGAGATGGCAAACACTAGCTATTCCAAAAGGCCTTCCTTCCAACAAATGGTAATAGCAACAGAGCACTTTAAAACCAATACATGACCTATTAATAGAGTAACTCTGAATGTAGACTCATCAGCTTGTGAGGCTGTGTTTAAATTGAGTACAAAAGAGAGTTTATCAAGACTAAAAACTATATTTGTACTGTATTTGCAATGTTAGTGCTAAAATTAGTTACATACTGATGACAAATGTGACTACAAATCCTGTAACTTCACATTTTTACTTTAGTACTTCCTGAACTTCTTAATTCTTTAATTCCCTCCAGCTCAAGAATAACTAATTAATTCAAAGAACCATAATAGTTAATCATTGGTTAGATAAATTTAAAAGGAGAATGTCTGTCCCTTGAGATACCATTGCTCATTTTAATTAAAATTACCATTTTGTGATGTAATGTAAACAAAGGTTATTGTATCCTTCTGCTCCAAGAACATACTAATTCTTTTATCTACCCCTAGAGATCAGTCAAGTTTTAAACTTACAAGAAAATTACTTGCATCATATGAGATAGTTTTAGTGAACACATATTTTTTTATTCATTTTTACATAAAGACTGTATTATTTTACGAACAAATTCTGAAGCACCCTGCGTCTAAAATGGTGGTAGACACAACTCATTATCTTAAGAGAGCAACGTCACCTATGTCGTAGCTATCAAAAAAAAAGCCTCCTAAACATTCATGGGCAATTAACAGATTGAACTCTTCAAAACTGATGTTTTATTTCAACACAGAAATACACTTAGCAAAACATATATTACTTTTAGGAGCCAACCTTCCAAAACCTGATTGTTTACATGGCCTTATAGGAATGGTAAACGCTGTTAATATGTAGGTAATTAATTCTTTCTCACATTATGAATGGAGCAGCCAAGTCCTTTATGGACAATTACAGTAGGACAGTCATGCATAGAATTTTATTGACCTTTTAAAAGTGTGCATGTGCTGTGTGTATCTCAGTAGATACCAAATACACAATTAGGCTGCTGCCAGAGATAACATGGCTGAAATTGTGTCTCGTCTTTATTTTTTCAAAACAAAATATCTAACGCAGATTAGCTGTCTCTTTGTAAAAATCCTTATAAGGACAAAGCATTACAGTCTTCATCTCAAGTCAAGGTCAACAACATAAATTCACCAAGCTAAGAATTATCTTGATCCTCTCTCCATTCAGATTTTGTAAATAATACACCTGACTTGAAAATGCTGCTGCAAAACCATATCTCTTGGGGCATATCGCTATAGTTAAAAACACGGACTTCACTTCTGAAATACATGATTACTATTTTAACCATTTAAAGAGTTACCTACAAAAGTACATTGAAATTTCCACTCAGGCATGTTGTAAATCAGTGTAATACGTGAGAGAACACTTATACAAAAAATGCCTTTCAAGACAGTGGCATTTCAATAGGAGGGGAACGTGAGGTGAAGAAAAAGCTACAACAACTAGGTTTGGCAATCTTGGCATAAATGAAATTATTGTATAAACTGAAATCAAAAGTATGCTTAGCCAAAATCATGTGCTTGGTTTTTGTCAGTACATAGGTCTGGCCTGCATCTTGAACCAGATAAGCTTGTTATGCAAATGATGTCAGCCATCAGGAAGGAGGTAGATAACGAAATTATTCGAAAGCTAATGGGTCATCACAAGGGTGACAGAAACACCAGGCAAGGTCCTAACATATAGATAAAAGGCAGTACGGAATTTATACAATCACTGCTTTTAATTTATCATAACTAGGCTGTCACAAAATGGGCAGCAACAAATGCATAACTAACACGTATCAATGAGCCAATTATCAGTAACGGCTTAAAGGTTTGCAGTTGTATGATCCAATATTTCATTATTTGTTTTTTTTCTAGAAAATCCACTAATGTAAATCCAAGCCTCCATAAAAACATCTTGTAACCTCTGCATCATAACAAGTGTACTAACATATGCCAGAGAATGAAGCAATGCCATAGAGAATTCCATTTCAGTGTTCTCTTAAAGGTAGCTATAAAACCAGTATATTTATTACAATTGTTGCATTTCTCCATGTTCAGAGACTGCATAGAAGCATATCTCCTTACTTCACTGTGCATATTACTATAAAAATTAAAAGCAAGATTCTAGAACCTGCAGATGTTGCTGGTGAGAGGAAGTATTTAAGCAAAAGTAGTTAAAAATCAGTATGATTGAAAATACACCATTTCAGGGTATCAAAACTCCAAAGGACAAGATTAAAACCACACATAGCCATAAAGCACTAACATCTGACTTCTTTTATGAACAGTGCATGCTAAACCACAAGACTGAAAAAATGTTAAGAAATGCTAAACTTTAGTTTTTTGTATTGTTCTCAAGCTCAGCAGAGACTTCTAAGAAAGGGTATCAGGACAGAAGAAAACTGTATAACAATGTTGAAGTTTAATGCACAGTGTTTTCGAGAAAGGAATGTAACCTTATTTACCAGGTGCCCTGACTCTCTAGAGCACAAGAGGACTATGACCCACCAGTGCTAGTTTCCCAGAATATAGGCTACAGTCCACAAATACTGTAAAATCAGTATTTGCTCTATAATAGAATGGAATTCATCCACCACTTCAATTACTTCTGTAACTAAACACTGATGTTGTCATAGACCACAATGTGCACTGCTGTGTAAACAAGGACAGTACAAAGAAACAGACCTTGGGTCAACCTGCTCTAGAGTAACGTACTTCCACTGCCTACGCTGGAAGAGATTCTGGGCTCCACCGCAGCAATGACAGTAACGGCCTTCCTCTGTAGACCGACCGTTACCTCACATTCCTACCCAATAAAGGATCAGCACAGTAAATATTTTTCATGGATTATTAATAAAATTTGCATTACTTTTTCTAACTTCTCCCAAAACGGGAAGAGACTACTACACAACTGATTGAAAAAAATATTAGGAGGGGATGTTGTACACTCCACAAGTAACTGGATACATTAAGGAATAGAACAGATTCGAAATGCAGATGTGCGTATTTTCAAATCTATCATGAAAAGTCAAATCTGAGGAGCAGTGTTCAAAGTACTTGGTTATCTGATTGGTGTAAAGTTCCCAAAGGTTTGATAACATTATTCCCCATGTTACACAGTTTAGGCTTTAATAGATCCCAATGAAATCCTGAAGAACCCTAACAATTACTCATAAAAGTTGCTGTAAGGGTTTTGCATATAACATTAGCAACAACTATTTTGTGTTTCCTTAGCTTCATTTTTAAATGATATTTCTGGATATTTCAGTTCAGTGACAACCTCAGCGAGAAAGTTGGTACCATCTAACACCTTACGTTCTTGGTAAAATTGGTGCTCAATTTGGCATAGAACCTACTGAATATTAATGGGAAAAGGCAAGTTGGTTTTTTTTGTCTTTCAAATTCTTTTTTTAAATTGACTAACAGTCATTTTCACTAATTCTTTTTTCTCCTTGACACAAAATTTCACTGCAAAACTATTGAGGAAATTAGGTATATTTATAAACCCATCCCAGTTCCATCAAAGTCAAGAAGCAAATCAACTAAGGAGTTCAGAGAAGCTGTGAAGAAAATTACATGGGAAGATCAAACAGTGCAGCACAGCTTTCAAAAAATGAAGCATAGTCTAGAATCTATGAAGAGAAAACTGAAGTTAAAAATCTGCAAAAGCAACAGCTCCGTAAACGAACTCTGTTTTCAAATAGATATACACAGGCCTTGCTGAATGATCTGTTATTAAAAGAAAATAAAACTCACTGTGAAATGAAATGGTTGAATCCTCTGCACCATTTTTCAGGATGTAGCAAAGTAGGAGGAGGATTTCTGAAAAAAAAAAAATAAAAAATACACAGTTATAGGGTTTAAAACTTTAATGTTTACTAGAATTATCCCACAGTCAACAAAGATGATACTAGTTCCACTAGGGGGAAATTACCATCGAGAAAGTCATGCTCAAATTGTCTATGTGTCCCCTTCAGATGCCTGTTGGGTTTTTCTTGCTGCTCGTTACTCCCTGACAGTTCTCTTTTCATGTCCTTCTCCTTTCAAGTCAATACCTTTGAAGTCAGTAGGCAGTATAGCTCACAGTGTGCCTCCAACATTTCCCCTTCAATTCAGCCTGACTCAGGAAGGATCAACTGAAACTGTGACATTAACCTAGCCATCATGGCATTTAGCCCTTTACCCAAGAATGCTGGCTCCGACCAAAAACTTTTAACGTATGGGTATCTTCATCAGAACTATCGAACTGCCAACAATTTGTAGGATTTTTGATCTGGATTTCAATCTATATTCAGTCTGGCTGACACTCTAAACTCTAAAACTGCTAAAAATAGATTTTCTTTTTAAAGCGACATTTAGCAGACACATTTTTAAATTACATAGTAAGAACATTCCATAAGAATAATAACCTCAAACTCTGGTGGATTCCACATTAGTTGGTACGTAATTACTTTCCTTTCTGATTGTTACTGTTAAATTACATAAATATACAGAGCGAGGCCTATATATTAAGAGGGGTAAATTTAGGTGGCTCAAATTTACATGGACCAACCTATAGAAGAAAATGGTCACAACTCACATCTACTATATTATATAGTCACATCTACTATACTATATTCAGAGTTTTCTTCTGCAACTTAAGATTTTATAAGTAGGGAAATCTATTTAACATTTTAAGATTAAACTTGTGTTTTATCAAACCTTAATGATTTGTGTTTTGCTGTATTTTTAGGGCTCAATGCAAAGGGTCACATATCACTGAACTGGTCTAAAAAAAAAAAAATCACAATAAGACTTATCCTACATAAGAAACATTCACTAACATTCTGGATTGTATCAAGAATCACTTCATTTATACCAGGGCCACATTCCACAGCATGACATCGCTTGGAAACATCTCACAAAACAAGAAGGCAAACAGCACAAACAACATAAATTAGCGTTGATCTGCTTAGTAGTCTTGAATTTTTCATGCATATTCATTCAAATAGTAGTTCCATTACAATTACCTTCAAAAATCCAAACAAAATAGTTTTAAAAAAATTTACAGCATGGCTTTGTAATAGATGGACCATTTTTGCTCATCTGTATCTATTCAGAACAAATCCGGTCATCTAATTTCATTGCAGGCTGACATGTTTTCTGAGATATGTAATTACTTTTCTCTTTTGTTACAGAAGACTTAGGGAACCCAATTTTCTTCACGAAGTGAAGAAATCCAGAATGTTTGGGATGTGCATCACTTCTCAAATTTATTATTAAGAAAAAAATGTGACTGCTTATTTTCAATAATTTTCAGTAATGTTTCAGGGTTTTCTTCCATTTAACAGGCTCACGCTTATCACAGAATCTGACTTTTTACAAGCATTAAAAAAACCTATATAAAAGTATTTCTAGAGATACTCGCAGAAAAAAAAATCCTGGATGAATGGTAGGCAAACTTTAAAAATCCTCTTTTTCTATAATGAAAATGGTTATCAGTCCACATATCCTACTCGCATGTATTCTGCAAACAGCTTTAAGGGACAGTCAGCTGGAGTTAGTATATGCATTTAGTCTTTATTTTGCAGGAATGGCACTCTCTCTGACAATTTGGTTTCTGATATGACTCGCTTTTATCATACTGTGAAGTACAGTGTATTTATTTTTAGAATTATACTAGTATTGTCTCCTGAATATTTGCTTTCTCAGAAGCTCAGTTACTATTAATGAAACATGTAGTTTTGCCTTTTATGTTCACGCTGTTCTTGAAGACTTTCCACAGTAGTAACAATGGTGCTTACAAAAAGCATAGAACTCGGAGGCTCTACTAATAATCTCACAAGGAACATTTTGAAAAAAAGACACAGAGATACTTATATTAGTTTCATTTTTTATGATGGAAACAGGTGGGATTTCATCATGGCAGAACAGACCAGCAGAACAGATGTCATTCAGGAAATACATTTAGTCATTTGCAGGTTAATGATTAATGGAGAAAGTCACGGTTTTAACCACACTGAGCACGTTTTGTCCAACAAATTACTAAGCTACTAAGCTCTCACTGACAGCTACTCTCTTAGAGGTGGCTGAGCATACTGTGTACCAAATCAACACAACCAAGGAATCCGTAGATCTGCAGATGTTTTCTTGCGCTTGATACTTGTATTTGTTGACAGAAGATACTATGTTGTTGTTAGGGCTTTTGTAGTAAAAATATAGAACTAGAGGTCCTCTGTACTTAAGACACTAAACTAATACTTCAGGTACCCCCACCTATTGATTTTGTATTTTGATAAACTGAGCTGATAAACATGATCAGAACCTTAATTCATTAGCATCTGTAAAGTACATTAGTTCCCCTTGATGAATGACATCACTTAACTACAAAGTACAAAATCAGTTCACCCTTTTCTGGCATCATGTCCATAAGTAATTTCCACAAAGGGGCACAACAGAGTCAGCTTCCTACCTTCACTTCGCCTAAGACATCACAATCTGTTTCACGGTTACAGCAGAAAACACCGCTGCTTCCATGGCATCCTCAGAGGTGGATTTCTGCAGTAAGGACTTGAACTCAAGTTCTAGGGTAACACTAAAAGTCAGATATGCAAGGGTAAGCACTTTAGGCTCTTTTGTGAGCACACTAAGTCTTCTGCAGTTTGAAATTAATTATTTCAAGATATCTGTAATTTGTATCACCTTAAAGAGAAAAGGTAAAACAACTCATATATTTTCAGATGCTAAACAACAAAGAAGCAACACTTGCCTCACCATTCCAGCTCAAAAAACAAACTAGGGCCATTTGTGATTCCAGACTATATCAAATCCAAGACATGGAATTCCATGGCTTTTACATACTTCGCATCAGCCAGCATCACTGCATTTCACCAACATCTGGCTGTTTCTGCAGCACTCAGAACACATTCACAGCAAAACTGAAAAGCTACCTCTTGTTCACTTGCTGACATAACTTACCCTACTTTTTTCATATAAAATTAGAACGTCCCGAGTACAACATTTCAATCATCCTTGTCACATACATAAGAAGCTGAAGGACAATATAGTCTTGTTTTCTATGGGAAGTGATGAAAAATACGAGAAGTAGATATGAACACTATTGCAAGAAGTGGGTATAATTGGGCTTGCCTTTTAAAAATGTCCTCTTTTGAGGACAAGATGAGTAATGATGCAAGATGAGTAATCAACCACTTATTTCACAACTTGGTCTCTTTCTTCCTTCAGTTCTTCCTATAATTCATAATTAGTCACGAACTACATGCTCTATTTCCTTAGGCAGACGCATTGCTCTTGTGACAAGCTTTTCTTCCCTTGTGGTCAGTGCTTCCCATGGTCACATCGATGCTATTCTTCACTGGGAGTTTTGCTTCAGTGAGGACTACAGGATTGAGTCTGTACATGACACCTCATGCAGGAGCACAAGGTTCCTTAGAATGTGAAGACATTAGCAAGCTTATCAAGCAAGAACTGCTGCTGAATTCTGAATTACACACACAGAGTTATGTGCTGGAAATACTTTAATCTGTCGAGCTTTATGTGTTCCCTGTGATTCAGCCTGCTTTCACAGTCACAGCTGGTAAAACAAAATCAGTCATTTTACCACAATAAGGCCAATGATGTACCTCAGCGAGCACCACTCATCCTTTATGCTAAGCTGTAAGCCTAATTACAGACCTCTGAGAATAGATATTTGCTGGGAATGAGAAAGTAAATATTTTCACTTTATAATATTTCCGTGACAGATTTTAAAAAATGGAAACTGCAACTACTATTTCTTAAACTACTTCATTAAACAGTCATACACTTTATAAAAAGAAGTCAAGACAAGGCCTCCAGTGACCAAATTGCACCATCAGCATACCACATTGTTTGTAATGAGAAATTAGCAGATGAACATCCAACACCTGTCACCATGAACAGGCTCTGCCAAGCAGAGCCCCGTACATGCGTGTTATGAATTGTTTTTCTAGCAGACTGAAGAGACAACAGTTCTGTTGACATTTGCTTAGGTTTATACATAGACAGTTTTTACATGAAATTAAACTACTCATGCACGTTTTTAAAAAGTGAAAGAGACATAGAAAAAGCACAAAGTCAACCATGCGATTCTCCCACATAAGGTTACGTAAAATTAATTGTTTCTGCTAAAATACATGAATAATTGGCATTAATTAATACCTGATAAATTCTCATACAAGTTTAAAAGACCTGCTACTCCAGAGCATCCGGGTAACTCTCCAAAAATAACCAGGCAATTCTTTAAAAGGATTAGAGGATTTCCTATTGCACTCAGTTTGTGGCCAGTTCAAACCAAGAAGAGGTTTCCATTGATCCGGATGAAAAACGCAGATCCTAAACATTCTCCCACATTCATCTGCCTCCTACTAAAGGCTACTCAAGTTTGACTGAATTACAGTAACATATTTCACCAAAGTTCACTCGGCAGGAAGCAGGGTACTATACTCAGCCCTGTAATGCTAAGATAGAAACCGGAGAGTTTAGATGCTTACAGGAGTGGAGAATCAGCACAAAAGCCTCCGTGTGTACAGTGACAGGCCTTTGAAGTTGCTTCTTAGGTCAGTGAAAAGCTGTCATCCATCTGACTCCTACTGCAAGAAGCCTTCATGGTTGGGAACTACAGCAGCACATTGTCTTAGGAGGCCAGAAGATCAAAAAAATACAGGAGCTACAAGAAAACTGGAAGCAATGCTAGAAGCATCGGATCTGGGCAAAACGGCTCCAGGTCGAAAGCAACTGTCTGCCTGCTGAGTTGATCTAGAGGGCTCCAAAGGCAATGGAACGTCCTTTCCTCAAAACAGCCA